GAAGGAGACTGCGACCACAAAAAAAGGCCACACCATCTTTGTCTTCATACTTTCGATTAATCGACTACTTTACTTATTTTTCGTCCCGAACCCTTAGTTATACAAAAAAATAAGTAATGTTGTCTATTGTCATAGCAATTATAAGTTTGCTTCATCGATAATCTTAGCAAAGAATAGTATATGAGATAATGCCTGACCTTCCTTGAAATTCACATCTACTCTCTGACCGAAGGGCATACTTGGCATTGTGGCGTAGTGCTTAACTTGTTGAGATTATACGCTGCCCTGCCATATTTTGAGTCCCGCTCAGACTGCTAATGAGACTTAGGTGAGCTCATAGTTACAGCCCACGTCATCATGAAAGCAAATGGCTTTTGAAAATGCAAGACTATGTGAAAATAAATGGAAGCGTTGGCTCTTCTCATATCATTGTGGGAAAATTGAACTATAAGCCCTTCATCACCTCAAACAAAATAGGATGAGTATATCTCATATAGTTTATAGGCTTATTCGGACTCACTTATGAACAAATATGTAACCTTCCTCCATCATTTTCGGAGTAGGCTTACCATCATGCAAACATAAATTGGTATTTAATCACGATTTTCCATACCCTCACATGCATGGATACATAACTTTTCATTTTTTTTGTTTTTAAATTACCAAATTATCCCATTGTAAATATGCATTTAAATATATTCTTAATTATTTCCATGCGCACGAGCATGTATGCGCATGCGCTTGCTTTCTACTCCTTTGAATTACGTTTATTAGGGCTTGTTGCGTCTACGCAGACATTCGTGGTCACGCGACAAGACCAGTCTCATTTACTACTGCCGCCTGTGAACCGGCCGCTCCCAAGCCACCCACAATGGTGGCCTGCACCAGGAATACAATATCCTTAAAATGGTCGCCTCCGCAAGCAGATAATGGGGCGCGTATCATTGCCTATCGGCTCGAGTACGCTCGTGTGAGTAGGGTGTATTAATGAATTCATTCTTATCTTATTTGGTGACATTCTTCTCGTAATTTACCATCTTGTTCGCAAGATGGAGATGCTCTTATTTGTTTCTACATCAAGATCAATTTCACTATATCCTCACATTTCAACTGTGCATCTTTCATTATTGGCCTAATTTTTGAATTTATATTTTAACTATCAAAACTATATTAGCTTTGGGTACAAATACTCTCTCTCCTATATTGTATTTGATTTAGGCGTAATATACACCATTTAGTGTGGTCCCACTGAGAATGCTATTGATTCTATGACAGATAAGATGAATATGAGGTCTGATTTAGCATTCGAGTCGACTTTGCCTTCATAAAAGGCCGTTCTCATCAGGGATGAACTGCAACGTCTACTTCGCCTGGATTTCACTAGCATCCCTAGTGGAATTCCAACCATTGATATAGAGTTTCCGGATCAAATAAACGACAACTTACGCTAGTGCCATTACAATGCACACGAATCCAGTTTATACTGGATGATACCATACTTTTATAAAACATTTGAATACATTTTAATGAATAACCAAGCCTTCTCTGCAATTACTTCGGCTAGAATAGCCATCAGTCTCTTTAATACGATTATTCTCAAAGAAATTATATTTGTCCAAAGTTTTTCATCTCAAGAATATCTAGATTATTATTATTCATACTTTTAATTTGTTCTATTCTAACTTCTCCCTTTTAGGCAGATATGGAGTCTCCTAGGTGGACGGAAGGCTTCTACGGCCCTCAGCGCTTCTGTAAGCTCCAGCAGCTCTTTTCTTCAAATGAATATCTTATTCGACTAGCTGCGATCAACATTCATGGGCAGAGGTCAGGACTACTTGCAATTTCTACTTGTGGCCCTTCCGCTGGTTTTACTATTTCATTATTCCCACATACGAAAAACGTAGCTTCTACAAAAAGGAATTATTAAAAGCGAGGGCTTATACGCGATTTTTTAACATTATTTACTTGTTAGGTTGGACAAAATACGTAATATTCCATTAACCCGCATGAAAAGAATTAAACAAAATAAAACAATCGCACAATTAAGTTAGATGTTAGATGTAATCATACTATAGTGCTAAAGACATGGTGCGTTGTTATTAGGCTTTAAGTATATTTCTACATCTTACTCTCGTACCTGTAAAAGTTTCATCGTTTATTCTTTCAGAGCATAGTCCTTTGATTGGATTTACCTTTTACGTAGAGTTAATTTGATCGACCAGTTGAGAATTTGGTGATTTTGCTTTTTTTGTGTTTGTTCTTTGCCTTGTTTGCACATATCCCTTCATGTTTTCCTGCTGGCAAGCCTTTGAGTGTGCTGACAAGCTGTTAATACTATTCGATAGTTGACATTGGATTGCATGTATTTTTTTAAGTTATCATACGCTCCAATAATCACTGAGAG